TTGACTTAACCCGTCCTTTATTGACGGATATTTAGGTTATATTTAATTTCTCACCAGTACAAACAACTCTAGACACCTGATACACATATATGTGCGTATTTGTGTATATATTTTTTCTGTACTCTTTTTCTGAAACTCATTTATAATATTTGTTGAATTTGCTGAGGTGGTCTTTCTTATCATTTCTCTTATTTTCCCTTGCTTTTTCTTTTTGTTCTACATTTGGGAGAAGTTTTCATAATTATTATTATTATTATTATTATTATTTTGAGACAGAGTCTGGCTTTGTTGCCTGGGCTAGAGTGCCGTGGCGTCAGCCTAGCTCAAAGCAACCTCAAACTCCTGGGCTCAAGCAATCCTCCTGCCTCAGCCTCCCGAGTAGCTGGGACTACAGGCATGCACCACTAGGCCTGGCTGATTTTTTCTATATATATTTTTAGTTGTCCAACTGATTTCTTTCTATTTTTTTATTAGAGATGGGGTCTTGCTCTTGCTCAGGCTGGTCTTGAACTCCTGACCTTGAGCGATCCTCCCGCCTGGGCCTCCCAGAGTGCTAGGATTATAGGTGTGAGCCACAGAGCTCGGCCTTCATAATTATTTTTAAACTAATCTATTGAGTTTTTTCACTTCTGCTATCATATTTTTAATAGGCAAAGCTGCTTTTTTATCCCATTTAAAGTATTTTATTTTTGTTTCATGAACTTAGGACTTCATTGGCATTCTTCTTTTGAACATGTCAACGATAGTTTTCATTTTTAAAATGTTTTTTCCTTCCTACCCAGTCTTTCTCCTCTGAGTTTTTTTCCCCTTGGTCTCTAGCTTTCTTCAGATTTCTGTTAATCCTTGGTTGCTGCCCATATTTAAGAGTGAGACACTGTAAGTTTATTTAGAAATATCTTGATTGTGGATTCTTGTAGGATTAATTAGATGAATCTTTTTTTTTTTTGAGGATCTCTAAAGTCCAATCTCCTGTCTGGAGGTTGTCTGCTAGTGTTCTGGAATCAAAATGGGAGAAGAGAGTTTGGGGATCTTAGTATTTAGTTTGTAAATATTTACTTAGTTTTTGTTTCTTGTGTAGTATCCTGCCTTCAGCTTTGCTTGGTGCAGAGATTCTCTGTTTTATCCCCTTTAGATACTAAACTTCCAACCTTGGGAGAGGTGGGGGTAGGGAGGAACAATCTTCTGGTATCAGTTAACTGCCTACTAAGTATGTGCATGTGGGGGTTGGGATCTAGTAATCTAACCGCTGCTTAAACTTTCATCCAATTTTCCTGGTTTTAACTCTGCCTTCACCCCACCCTCTAGAGTTTCTTGGTAACTCCATTTCCTAAGCCTTTTGAGGGCTTGGAGGTATATCTTAGGTAATTTCTTGGATTTTCTTACTGTCATCTTTGGATTCAGCTTTACCAAGTCTGCTGAGTAGGTTTTCGTTCACCCATCTCCTTTCTAGTTTTGAAAAAAAATTTTTTTCAAATTTATCACTTGGGCTAGAGTGCAGTGGTGTCATCATAGCTCACTGCAACCTCAAATTCCTGGGCTCAAGTGATCTTCCTGCCTCAGCCTCCGGAGCAGCTGGGACTACAGGTATGTGCCACCACACCTGGCTAGTTTTTCTATTTTTTTTTAGAGATGGGGTCTCCCTGTTGCTGAGGCTGGTCTAGAACTACTGGCCTCAAGCAATTCTCCTGCCTCAGCCTCCCAAAGTGCTAAGATTATAGGCGTGAGCCACTGTACCCAGCCTAGTTTTGAAAATTTTGTTGCTTTTATTTCTTGTTCCGTTTCTCCTTATTATTGTGGGTTTATGCTTTTAAAAATTTGTTGTTTTAATGGTTTTCTTGGAAGGATCAAAAGTCAATATGGGTGTTTAATTCATCATCTGAGAGAGTATGTGGAAGTACTCTCTATTTTTTTTCATAGTTGTAGAGTATGCCATTGGATGGGTACTTCTTTTATGATAAACCTTCAGGTTATTTCCAACTTTGATCTGTTACAAATAATGTTGCAGTTAATCACATGTAAAAGTAATTTATGGGACTTTTTGGGAGACAGGGTCTTGTTCTGTCACCCAGGCTGGAGTACAGTTGCTGGATCATAGCTCACTGTGGCCTCGAACTTTTGGGCTCAAGTGATCCTCCTGCCTTAGCCTCCTGAGCAGCTGAGACTACACGCATGCGACACTACACGCAACTAATTTTTAAAAAATTTTTGTAGAGCTGAAGTCTCATTGTGTCGCCCAGCTGGTCTCAAACTCCTGGGCTCAAGTGATCCTTCCGCCTTGGCCTCCCACAGTACTAGGACTACAGGCGTGAGCCACCACGCCTAGCCCTATAGGATTTATTTATTTATTTATTTTTTTACAGATATGCACAGTTTTTATAATGAAAGGTACATCAAATTGTTTCTCTGTGAAGGTTGTACTAATTTACACTTCTACCAGTAATGTTTGAGAGTGTCTATATCTGCCTTAGCCTTTTGATCTTTGCCAGTGTGGTAGATGAATAAAGATATCTCAGTGTAGCTTTAATATTCATTTCTCTTATTACAAGGGATGGAACGATTTTTCTTGTGTTTAAGAGATATTTATATTTTCTTTCCTGTGAACTGTCTGTCCATTTCCTTTGCCTCCTTTTCTACACTATCGTTGTTCTTTTTCATATTTCATTGTAGCTTTTTATGTTATTTAAAAAATTATCCTGTAGCTTAAGATATGATTTGTACATATTATTTCTGAGTGTTTTGATTGTCATTTGGTTTTTCTTCTTGGTCTTTTTTCCTCGGAGATCCCCCATCCCCCCCACACACCCTGACATTGTTCTTAGTCTCTAGCAGAACTTTTTAAGAACTTTTTAAAGAAATTTTTATGTGGTTATTAGTTTTCTTCTGTTATGATTTATTGATTTTGTTTAATACTTGGAAAGGTCTTCTGCCCCTTAAGAATATTAAAATATCGTGATGGTTTCTTTTAGAACATATATAATTTCATTTTTATATTTAAACATTTTGTTCATTTTGATTTTTATCTTTGTGTAAACTGTGAGATATCCAACTAATTTTTTTCCAGTTGGCTCTCCAATTGTCTCAATATCATTTATTGAATAAATTACCTTTTCCCTCCTAATGTGAACTTCTTTTATCATGTATGTTCTGTTGACAATCATAAACTTTTTTTGCACTATTTAAAGGAAGTGTAAATTGGATTATAAAGCAAATGGATTATTTTGAAATTATCGTCCTGTTTTCATTATAGGAGGAAATACGAAGAGAAAAATATAAGGATGATATTTCATCTGTGAACATAAATATTCAGAATACATTGAAAGGTCTCCATGCAAATAATATTGGTCAAGGTAGCAAAGCAGAAGATAAAGATAAAAGCCATTCTAAACAGATTCAGAGTTATAAATCCTATGGAATCATGTCTAAAGCATGTGCAAGTGATGACCAAACGAAGACTCCGTTAAAGAGTGCAAATCCAGTTAATACTTGTTATAGGGAGAGTGAGCAAAGTAAGACTTTATGTAAAGCCAATTCAAGCTGCAACCAAAACCTACATGAAGAAACAACTGCTGAAAAAAAGAATTTTGTTTCTCAATCAAGGTATAGTTTAATAATTGTTTGTAACTCTTATCTATTTATTCATCAGGCGTTCATTGTGCACTATTCTGTGCTACACTGTTAAGCACTGCGGATACAGAAACGATAAAACGTGGTCTTGGGAAGAGCCTAAAGTAGGGAATGTTGGGAAAGGAGTTTGGATGGGAGATATGGGTCAGTTCATTTAGGGCCTTGAAATGTCATACTCAGGATTTTTGGTTTTAACTCACAGGGTCTAGGGAGCTGTTAAGGATTTTAAATTGAGTGATATAACCAGATTTGAATTTTAGAAAGGCTACTCAGAAAAGAAAACCTAAACTGCCTGCCAAACACCCGAAAACCCTCTACCTGACATAACAGGCATGCATTGATAATCTATTAGCAATGTAGCAAAAGCCAGTTTAATATGATAAAGGGAATAGGATGTGAGGAACGTCTGGTTTGGGTTTGCCCTTTGGTTTGTTCCCTGCACTTCATCTCCAGTACATATCCTTTCTCCCTCACAGGTACTTGGGGGGCTGGACCTGGGTTTGTAGCTTTTCTTCCTAAACTCTTCCTTGTGTTATGCTTTTCTGATGGTTACTGTACTTAGGAAAAATGAAGAGGATGCTGCTATGTTTTGGGCAGTTTGCAGGGTAAAGCTGAGATGGATTACACTATCACCACCCCCTTTTTCCTTTTAGAGATCATTCTTGATGTTAATTTTAACTTGATTTCTCAGGGACGTAGAATTGGGAAGCAGAGAGATATGCTCTTGGGCCAGCCTTCTAGACTAAGACTTCCACCCATACCCTTTTTTCTCTTTTAGGGTTAGTTAGCTGTATTTCTACCTCAGCTGAGTTATTAATATTTCCATTTCTTTGAAATGCTTTTTTTCTCCAATGTGGTATCTCCTACAAATAGATGTACATGGACAGATAGCTACAGTTATAAAGCTATTGCTGTATCTGTTCTCTGGTCTATAGCTCTTGTGTTTTTCTGCACTACCTGTGACCATTGTGACAGTATACTCAAAACTTACATTTATTCGTCAAGGACCACGGGGTTCAAACACAAAAATGTTTTGGTAGTCAGGAGGGATGTTTCAGTTCAGATTCTTATATGATTATTGTTAGTACTTTGCCATTCTGTACCCCATGTTCTTTTTTCTCCCACTAATTTTGTACTTCCCTTTTTTGCTCTCATCTCTGCTTTCTTTTTTATTAATATATAATCTCTCGTGTTTCTGCTGGCATCAACACTGTCACCCTCTGACGTCTTATTAAACTCTAGTTCTAGAAACAAGGCTATAACCTTGTTTGGCAGAATTTGGTAGATTTTCATAGATCCAGGCTCTAGCTCTTTCTGCCTGCCAAACACCCAAAATCATACCACTGCTTACAGAAACATTTGTCCACACACCAAACAGTATGTTTGCTTTTAGTAATCTGCTGTCTCTTTTCTTTTAGTGACCATGTTTTTAAACATCCAACTCACACTGCCAAAGATAGAAAGCAGCAGTTACCAGTAACAGGTATGATTAAAAATATTTCTTCTTTGGTTTTTTTTTTTTTTTTTTTTTTAAGAAAACAGATATTTAGGTGGCTGACATAGCTAAAAATGTACATTGGTATATCAGTCCTCTAAAGTATAAGCCACACCTTTGACTCTCTGTGGGGTACAGGCCTTCTATTAATATCTAGAATCTTTCTGTTTATCCACCAGGATGACTGAATGTATAGTACCAGGCTGAAGTTTATGAAAATCTTGAGAATTAATAAATCTTATAAATGTCTTTTTTTTTATCAACGGAAAAAATCTTGTATTTTACAATTTTTTCCAGATCCATTTACATTATGTTCAGATATAATAAATAAAGAAGTAATCAGTTTTCTAGCAACTGATACTGACAATTCTTCCAAAATGCTGAAGTATAGATGCTCAGGTAAATATTTTTTAATTGTAATTGTTTCATAATTAAAGTTTTATATGATATTAGTTAACTAGAATTTACAATAGTTCTACCTATGTGATTTAAACTTCATTTCCTTTGGAGAAATAACAGTCTGGAACATCAAAGCATTCAAATTAATACCTTCTATCTACATCAGGCTGAGCTCCCAATGTTTTTTTATATGAATCAACACAGTACCTTTTTTTTTTTTTATTACTTTTCTGTTTTTGTCATAATGCCATCTATAAGTTTAACTTTACTGAGTAAAATATTTTTTATGTTTTCAGAGAGCCAATAAATAGGTATGTATTCTGGATTACACTCTAAACATTATAGGTATTAAGTGTGAAACATCACCTATTTTTATATTTATAATAAATATATAACTGTTTATAGTGCTTCATGCCCCATTACTTATTTTTTCTGTGGGGCCCTTGTCCATTCCTTCTCCTCTCCCTTCACATTCCAATATTTCCTCTTTGTTCACTCTGATTGTTGCACCCTGCTCTATGGACAAAATTGAGGTTATTCTACTTGAAGAGATTATCTGTTACTCTAAAGCTGATGTCTAGCCATAACCTAAATTCCAATCCCATCTCTTTTTTTCTCCCCATTTTAATACTAATTGTGAAATCTTTCTCCTTAGTCCCTTTCGATCCATTGACTCTTTTTGTCCCACCTTAAATGGTGCTCATTTTTCCTCATCTTAAAGAAAAAAAAAAAAAAACACCAATACTTTGTGATTTCCTATCCCTTTAAGTATCATCCACTCTTCCCAATAGGTGCACACATCCCATTAGGGAGTAAATGTAATTAATAAGAAAATACAAATATTTTTTCTTTCAATTTAGTTGTATTATTTTTTTAGATGGCTACTAAGTTGTTAGAACATATATACTTATTAAGTTGTTTTGGATCTGACAGAATGGTTAGGTATTTCTTTTGGCATAGGGGTGCCATGTGAGAAAGTTTGGGAATCTCTGGTCAAAAGTAGTCCAGTTGGCAGAGTGCATGCTCTATAACTGTTAACCCCCGTTCATCCGTTAGTTTGTTTGAAGTGATTCTCTCCTAGTTCCCTTCTTCCCCAGTGACCATTCATTCATTTCACAAACATTATGGAGCATTTAGTCCTTGGCAGGCACTGGAATCAAAGATGAATAGAACTTAGTACTCACCTTTATTGTTTTGTCTTTCTATTCCTGCCAGATTTCTATAGGTATTCTCCCCAAGACCTAGTCTAAACCACTTACTCAGCTCTGTCACTTGTGGTGTCACCTATTATTTTAATGATGATTTTCAAATCTGTATCTAAACATTTGGCTTCTACCTTGGGTTATAGCCTTATTTTTCCATTTCCATTTGTACCCAGGACATACCCACTTCAATATCTTCTTGTTACTTCAAGCTCAACATCTCTCTTCCTCTTAAATTGTCCTCCTCCTAGGTACCCCATTTCTGTCAGTGTTGCCATGATTCTTCTGGTCTCCCAGACTTTGAGTCTTGAATCTTCTATAACTGTTCTTTTTCATTGCATCCTCTATTTCCAGTCTATCAAATTTGTTTATTTTTACTTTCCCACATAGGCCCTTTTTGCTTCTTGTCTAAATAACTGCAACAACTTTCTAGCAGTCTTTTAGTCTCAAGTCTCTCCAACTCCCAACTGTAATATGCCAAGTGCTGTTAACTTATTAATATGTGTTTTTTTTTTTTTTTTTTTTACCATGTAACCATGCTAAAGAATCCTTGGTGCTTCTGTGTAACCCATTGAATCCATTCCTCTGCCTGGCTTTCAAAATTGTGTGGGAGTTTGTCCTGCTTCCACTTACTAAATTTCACTACCCATTTACTCTCAGTCTGCCAGAAATGTGCTATGCTCATTACAAACTTTGCCAGTCAACTACCAAATTACTTGAGAATTATCCTTAACTTTTTCCTTACCCCAGCAGCTCGTTATTCATCAAATCCTACCAATTTTATTTCAGAAATTTCTCTATTCTTCCTGCAAATGCTTTGTTTCAGAATCCCCTCATTTATTTTCTGGACTACTAAAGTAACCTGTCAATTCATTTCCTGCCTTCAGTTGACCATTCTACAAGACAAATGAAATCATGTCATCTTCCTGCTTAATAAATATCTTTCACTTCCTCCTCACTGACTTGAAGAGAATTAAAATTCCTTAGCATGGCTTTCGAGACCTTTCTTGGTCTGGCTCCCTGCAACCCTCCCCAGCCTCAACTTTTCTCCCACACTTCTCTTAACACCCTGTATACTCAGTCACACTAGAGTACCCATGATCTCTGAACATACTATGCTTTTTCACACTTCTGTGCTTTTGTACATCTTTATTGTACTTGAAATGTCTTCATCCCTGTCAACTAACTGTCTGGCTAACTTACTCTCTTAGGAATGGGCCACTAATACAATTAGGTGACAGGCTGATGGAAAACTTTATAATGGATGGATGTTGGCTGACATTACCTGAACCTAATGATCTATCTTAACATTAAAAAAAAAAAAAAGAAAGACATTACGTGCCTCTTTTTTTTTTCCCCGCATAGCCAAAGGTAATGTACAACCTGAGTGTGCCTCTTAATACAATAAGAAGCACACAATGCTACCAGTAAGGAATTGTAGTAAAAGCACTTGAACCTGAATCTAATCAATCATCTAGATCTAATTACTAGTTTACAGGGCATACAAGAACATTTTAAAGGGCACAATTAGAATGCAATCGGCACAACCCACCCTTTGGGAAACTATAGTACAAATGTCCTAGTGCAGTGGTCTCCAACCTTTTCGGCACCAGGGACTGCTTTCATGGAAGACAATTTTTCCATGGGGGGGTGGGGTGGGCAGAGCTCAGGCAGTGATGCGTGATGTGAGCGATGGAGAGCGGAGTGGTTATAAATACAGATGAAGCTTTGCTTGCTTACTGCTCACGTCCTGCTGTGCAGGCCCCTGGGTTCCTAAGTTTCATGGAAGACAATTTTTCCATGGGGAGTGGCGCTGGAGGGGCATGCAGCAGAGGTCTGCGGCCTGGTCCCTAACAGGCCACAGACCATCCTCGGCCCCGCAGTCGTAGTGTCTTCAATAAGTAAATAGCAAAGAAAGAAGAGTGGAGAACTGATGGATTAAAAGCAACTCAAGAGATATATCAACCAAATGTAAGCTGGGCACAGTGGCACACACCTGTAGTCCCAGCTACTAGGGAGGCTGAGGCAGGAGGATCACTTGAGCCTAGGAGTTTGAGGGTGCAGTGAGCTATGATCATGCCACTGCACTCCAGCCTGGGCAACAGATCAAAACCCCATCTCTAAAAAATAAAGTATTTACAGATGAAATGATACTTTAATGCAAATTCCAGGCTTCATAATCCAGTGTGTACATGGGGATAGAGTCAAGTAGGTGAGGATGTAAATAAAACATGATTAGCCAGGAGTTAATAATTTTTTTGAAGCTAGGTGATGGATACATGGGGGTTCATCATGCTCTGCCCTTTACTCTTGTGTGTTTGAAATTTTCCATTAAAAAAATGTTAAAAAAGATGACTGAGCTTAAGGATAATTTCTTTTGGCTGTCTTCCCTTAACAGTGACTCCTGCTCAGAACCAGACAAGCTTAGATGCTCCTTTTCTTTCTTTTTTTTTTTTTTTTTGAGACAGAGTCTCACTGTGTTGCCCCAGCTAGAGTGCCGTGGCGTCATCCTAGCTTACAGCAACCTCAAACTCCTGGGCTCAAGCGATCCTCCTGCCTCAGCCTCCCGAGTAGCTGGGACTACAGGCATGCGCCACCACGCCCGGCTAATTTTTTCTATATATTTTTTAGTTGTCCGATTAATTTCTTTCTATTTTTAGTAGAGACGGGGTCTCACTCTTGCTCAGGCTGGTTTCGAACTCCTGAGCTCAAACAATCCGCCCGCCTCGGCCTCCCAGAGTGCTAGGATTATAGGTGTGAGCCATCACGCCCGGCCAGATGCTCCTTTTCTATAATGTCATAACTCTCTGTTCACATCTTTATCCTAGTAACTTACTTCATTGTATTGCATTTTTTGTCTCTATTACCTCACATGACTTTGAGCTTCTTGAGGTATTTACAGTAAGTTCCTGATTTCACTTCAGTTACCATCATATAGATATTTGCTTTCATAGATTTGTTATTAGATATTTTGTGACATCTATACATCACTTTAATTTGTTTTCTTTTAGGTTGCATAGCAGTAGGAATATCACTGAATAGCCGAAATTTTAGCAAGCTCTTGCATTCTTGCCCATACCAATGTGATCGTCACAAAGTCATTGTGGAAGCTGAAGACAGATATAAAAGTGAACTAAGGAAATCACTTATCTGTAACAAAAGTAATTAATTCAGCAGCTTTAAAACTGTAATTATGACTGTACCTTTGAACTATCATCTAAAGTGTCTAAAGTTTTTAAGTATGTTAAAAAACTAAAGGGTAAAATAATGTTGAAAAGAAAATCTGTCTCTAAGCAACCAGTAATTTAAGATACACCCAGGGAGTAGAATTAGTCTCTGGTAGTTTAAAAATTCTTTCTAATCCACCTAAGGATTTCTACTAGAAGGGGGGAAAAAGGAACTATCATACCAGTGGACTTGATATGCTATTACTCAGGTTGATACTCTAATTATGCTAAATGTTTTCCATATTTTTCAGAAATTCTGCTCACCCCACGTAGAAGACAAAGACTCAGTAATGAATCTACTACCTCTGGAGGAATAAGTGAATATATTTAATTTTTAAATGAACTTAAATTTCATATATTCCTGAGAAAGAAGTGAACAGCTGAATGGTTGTTCTCAGTCTCATCATTAATGGCTCTTAAATGATAGCCCTTGGCTCTGATGAGGGTCATGCCTCCTAAGAAAAGAGACTTCCCCTTTCCCTTCTTCATGTTGCTTACTCACCCACTGCTTGCCAGCTGAGAAAGCAGCAAGAGGAACTAACATTTATCAAGCACCTGCTATGTGTTAGGTGTTTTATAGATACTATTTTTTTTCTTTAATTCTTATAATAACATTGTATGGTAGATATTATTTTTTCCCCATTGTAAGGCACATTAAGTTAATAAATAGCAGAACTTAGATTCAAATGTAAGCTCTAGAAGCCCTTGTTCTATCCTCTGGATCACGTTTCTATTTTAAGAACAAAATTAAAAGTACTTCAGAGAGACTTTGCAGAAGGTTTTTGTTCAAAACTATAGCACTTCAAACAAAAATCTGAAGAGACAAACAGTATAAACCTTAAAGCCCTGCTTAAAAGTCAAAATGCTTCTTAAGCAATTAGATACTTATGGGAATTTTTATTTAACTACAGGGTTAACATTTTAGGTCTATCACCATTCCAAATTTATCAGAGAGACTTGAACATTATCATTATCTTCATTCATATGGAGTTAACACCTGCAGAGTAAGAAGAGTTGAGTATATTACTTGTCAAAGTAATGTAGACATTAGTAACATCTATAGAGCCAGTCTATTACAGAGACATTGGACTGGGTACAGCCAGGAAGCATTTCGTTACATACATTTATTTGGCGATTTTTATGCCAAAACCTTGAAAGAAATTTAAAATTTACTTTTTTTTTTTTTTTAAATAAAAGAGAGGGTCTCACTCTGTTGCCTGGGCAAGAGTGCAGTGGTGTCATCATCGCTCACTGTAATCCTAAACTCCTGGGCTCAAGCAATCCTGTCCCAGCCTCCTTAGTAGCTAGAATTACAGGTGCACGCCACCATGCCTGGCTAATTTTTAAAAATTTTTTTATAGAGATGGGGTCTTGCTATGTTGTTGCTCAGGCTGGTCTTGAACTCCCAGGCTCAAGCAAACCTCCTGCCTCAGCCTCCCAAAGTGCTGGGATTACAGGTGTGAGCCACTGTGCCCAGCCCAAGCCCAGATTTACTTTTTATATCTGGGTCTTTTTCTAGGTTAAAGGTTCTACATGCAAAGTAAAATTAAGTATAGTATCATTATAGAGGAGTCTACTTTTTGAAACAATATATTTTCTGTAGAAACTGTTAGAAAATGTGTATTTTCCCATAGAAACATGTTGCACTTGGAAATCTTGTTCTTGAGAAGGACTTGTCATCAAATTAATAATAGATTTGTTTCAATGACATATCTTAAAAGCAAATATGTAACAACTAAAAATATTCTGTGTAATCCATTTGCATAGTAAAGTCATCTGCAGAGCCTCATGAAATGGACATAATTATGCCTATACGTTGATTATACAGAGTGATCCTAAATACTAAGAGACATTCAGCTCATAAATACCATACATGCTTTCTGTAGGTTAGACTTGCATTAGCTAAAACCAAACAATTAATAATTCGCCTGCTTTTTTAGAATTTAGAAAGGCATCTTGAGAAAGTAGTGATTAGATTGGTCTTATATCTCTTTCACAAGTAGGCAAGGAATATTTGGTATGTTGTTTTTTTCCCCCTCTTAATAAATTTCCCTTTCTTTTAGGACATTCACCACCATTCATTTAATTACAGTTTATAATCAAATTTGAGCCCATTCTTTTGAGAAGGGACCACTGTACTATCTAAGCATGGAAAGATTTCCCCAAGGCTCTCTTTCAGGATGTATTGGTGTTTTAAGAGGGTTTGAAAAATAAGAGTCCCTAGAATTAAGCCCTCCTACCCATTTTTCTTGCTCTTCCTTAATATAATACCTAGTCAATATTAAGAGGAGCACTAAAGAAGCCACAAAGGGGCATCTCGGGGTGTTGTGAGCTGCTTCCTCCTTCCAGGCTGCCCAGTACTTTGATGTGCAGGAACCTTTGAGGATTTGAGCACAGATGTTAAGTATAAGAGTCTGGGAAGATGGTAGCCGCAATGGAAAAATGGGGCTTTACATGATGCACTCCAGGGCCTCAATATCCTGAAAGTTATAATAACCTATCTGGTCCTGATTGTTATGAGTTCAAATCATTTAGCAAGTGAAGTTGAAGCCTATTTCTTGCATAACCACAGTTTTCTAGTATACTTAAAAATAAGGATTAACTTCATCGATGAGTTTTGAGACAGTTTTACCAACAATCATTTTTTACTCTCATCAAATATTTACTGACCACCTACTATGTGTCAGATACTATTCTAGGCACTGGGGATACAATGGTGAATAAAATAGACAAAAATCTCTACCCTCATGGAGCTTGCATTCTAAATAATACTATTAAGCTGATACTATTTACATTGATTTATCAACCTTTGGCTGGTAAGATTTTCTCTTCTGTTTTAAAAGGTCTGAATTGTGGCTCTTATCTTAGGAAAGGTAACAAATGGCCGTCTTGGCCTACAAGGGCAAGATTTTCTAAGGGTGACTGACTGCAACTACACCTGGTCCTACTAAAGTAAATAGCAGCCTGAAGTGGAAATACAAAAACTTCTCCTTACCAGCATCTACTTACAATGATAACATGAGTTAACAATGAATAAAAAAAGCTGTGTTTTTTTGTTTCTTGTTTTTTGTTTTGAGCCAGAGTCTTGCTCTGTTGCCCAGGCTAGAGTGCTGTGGCGTCATCCTAGTTCACAGCAACCTCAAACTCCTGGGCTCAAGTGATCCTCCTGCCTCAGCCTCCCAAGTAGCTGGGACTACAGGTGTGCGCCACCATGCCTGGCTAATTGAATGAAAAAGTTTAAAGAAAACTATTTCCTAATAATTATCACCAAAGAATACTTATGTTTACAGATATACCCCAGCTATGTATTCTTTCTGTTGTAGAAAGTATCCCTAAAAACCCAGATAGTTAAACACTTCCTTCCCTATTATGCAGACTTTTTTTGAGTTTTGGTCAAGCTGACCACACATATAAGTAGTTAACATGTTTTTTAAAAACAAATATCAAAAGACCCTTATTCTTAAAAATATTGCTCAACCTGATATTTAGAGTATAATGAGTATTGATATTCTTTTCTATTCTATGAAGTTATGGAGCCCTTTGGGAAGACTGTATCTGTAAGATAGGTAAGCTGTTTGTTAACTGTCCTCAGAAGAATGTTGAGTTAACAATTGGAAGTTTATAAAGTTTTGTTTCTTAGTTGAAAGATACAGCAAGTTTCACTACAAATAGATTAAGATAAAATTATTGAAGAAGTCAGAGTGAATAGTACCTAACTTAATAGTAGGCACTCCAGTTTTTAAAATTGAGGTGGATTTCCATAGGATGAGTAGTCCAGGCATGAAGTTTTCTTACTCTATAGTTCATATTCTTGGAATAAGTTAAGCATTTATTTGAATCCTAAGACATTTTTTCAGTAAGGACTAATATATTCTAAAATTCTAATTAATTACAGAAAAAAGAAGAATTCGTAAAAACTTTACCAAAGAAGAATTGAATTACCTTTTCAACGGAGTTAAGAAAATGGGCAATCATTGGAATTCAATTTTGTGGTCTTTCCCCTTTCAGCAAGGACGAACGGCTGTGGACCTTGCTCATAAATACCACAATCTGACCAAAGGCCCCAATTGTGCGGCTCCTTGATAGGAAGAACACTTTTGTCAGTTTTTAGTTTGGACTCTTAAAATACAGTGCCTTCAAAGATACAAAGTCTAAAATAGTCTTCTAAACTCTCATGAGACAGGGAGTGTGGAAATAGGGATATAGTTTTAATTAAACAGTTTTTGTGGTGCTGAAACTCACTGAATTATTATAGTAATTTATAAAGCAAATACATTTTTAATGTGCAGATTAGTAAGATAAAATTGTTTCATAAGGTCAGACAGTTGTTTAGGAATATGCTTTTATTTTTCCTTAATCTCAAAGAACATACATAGCTGAGAGAAAAAAATTATCAGCCTTTAAACATTACAATGACTACTACATGGGACACTGGGTTTTAATATTTTTGCCCAGTGTCAAAGATGCCCCCCTCCAGATCTCAGAAAGATAGAATAGTGTCCCAAGCTGTTCAGCTGAGATTCCCACACAACTAATCAATGTTTGACATTTTGTTAATGAAAATGTTTCCTCTTCTAAAAGCTAACTGTGCAGTTGCTTTGAATACTTCCATATTCTATGGTCAGGTTCACTTCTTTTTGGTATATTTTTATTTGCTTTAGCTTTTTAAAAGTGTCTACTACTTACCCCTATTCTCATTCTAAATCTTTTTTATTTTTAATTTTTTTTTTTAAATCAGGGTCTGTGTCACCCCCACTGGTGTGCAGTGGCCTCATCATAACTCACTGTAACCTTGAACTTGTGGGCTCAAGCAGTCCTTCCACCTCAGTATCTTGAGTAGCTAGAACTACAGGCATGGGCCACCACACCTGGCTAATTTTTTATATTTTTTTCTTTTTTTTTTGACACAGAGTCTCCATCTTGTCACCCTGGATAGAGTACAGTGGTGGCATCATAGGTCACTGCAACCTCCAACTGCTGGGGTCAAGCGGTCTTCCTGTCTCAGCCTCCCAAGTAGCTGGGACTACAGGTGATCGCTACCATGCTTGGATAATTTTTCTATTTTTAGTAGAGATGGGGTCTTGCTCTTGCTCAGGCTGTTCTTGAACTCCTGAGCTCAAGTGATCCTCCCACTTTGGCCTCCCAGAGAGTGCTAGGATTACAGGTGTGCCTGGCCTAACTTTTTATTTTTTAGTAGACACATGCGTCTTACTATTTTGCACAGTCTGGTCTTGAAGTGATCCTCCTGCCTTGGCCTACCAAAGCGCTGGGGTTATAGGCATGAGCCATGATGGCTCAAGTGATCCTCCTGCCTTGGCCTCCCAAAGTGCTGGGATTACAGGCGTGAGCCATGATTGCTGGCCCTTGTATGTCTTTTATCCTTCATGCTTATGAGCCCTAGTTAGTTCAAGTTGCAGCAGAACAGTGTCATGTCCCCATATAACCTTACTCACTGAATGCTAGACACCTCTTTGTAAAATGTGTCCAAAGAGAAATGTGACCCTAAGAAATGCAGCTTGACTGGCAGAGTAAGGAGTCAGCTGCTTTACTGGGCCCAGTGAGGTTTCATGGACCCCGAGATGTTTCTCAGCATTCTATATGACTAACTTTCAGATTATAGTTAATATAGTTATGACTCTTAGGTTGTAATTTTTATTATTTTCAAATGTTTCCTATCCTGTTCTTATGCCTTTTTTTGTTAAATCCTTCTATAGGACTTTAGTAGTCCCTGTTAAATTTCATCTTGTTAGATGTAGTCTCTGCTCAATTTGTCATCCAGTATATTAGGCATCCCTTCCTGTTTGAGGTCATCCACAGCTTCTATGAATGTGCTGCTATATTCTCATCCAAGTCACTGATGGCACCCTCAATTGGCTGGCCAGGGCAGGAGGTAGGGGCAGGCCCCTAGTAGCCACTTCTAGTGGTCCTTGTTCCTCATCAGCTCCCTCTCGGCCTGGTCTTTAACAAGCCTCAATGCTATCATCCAGCTTACATTTCACTTTCTAATCTATGATGTGAATTGTCAAATGCCTTGTTGAAATCTGCATTTGCTATGTCTGAAGCATCCTCCTGTCTGGTATTCCTGTTAAAAAAGAAAAATACTGTATAAATTTGGTGCTATCTTTTCCTTTTCCAACTAGTCACATAAGAAAATTTCACCTAGTTCTGATTAAGCTCACTGGCCCATAGTTTTCAACTTCATCTTCTGTCCTGTGAAAATTTAGTACTGCTTGCCCTTTTATGACTTCCAGTACTTTGCGCTTCCCAAACTTTCAGGAGTGTAACTCTTAATGGGTTTTCACTCCTACTGTCTTGCTTAAACCTTACATCCAGGTTGGCAGATGATAGATAGGCCTATTTGCTGGATTCTGTAATTCATGCTGCCAAATTTTTGGCAGAGCCAGGATCACAATCCTACTTATCTGAGGCCACTTAGGTGGTTGCTTTCCTGCTATATCCCACTTCCGTGTGATATTTAGAAATGCCTTGTAAGCCTGTTTCCCTAGAGAATAGCAAGAGCCCTCAGGTAGAGGCCAAACCTAAAGTTAAGCTTGACAGGTGGAATGTAATTTTTTCTTTCCTCTTTAAAAAACTTGTTAGTAAGGCAAAGCCAAGTGTATTGTTCACTGCAGTAAATAAGGATCACTTACCTTACAGTCTTTAGTCTACGGAGGAGGAGGTGAAAAGCAGGATATTTATGAAGATTTTGGGGTTTTACTTAAGGCCAGTCTTGCAATGCAGGGCTTGATTACGGTTAGGCCAAGTTCATGATATAATAGTTTTAGATTGGTGAATAAGATTGGAAGTGCAGGGCAGGGTGTAGTGACTCATGCCTGTAATCCCAGCACTTTGGGAGGCCAGGGCAGGAGGATCGCTTGAGCCCAGGAGTTCAAGACCAGCCTGGGCAACATAGACCCCCATCTCTTAAAAAAATAAATTAGCCGGGCGTGGTGGGACGCGCCTGTAGTCCTAGTTACTACGTAGGGACGTAGGGAGTGGGTCAGACAGATGGATGGCTTGACCCTAGGAATTTGAGGTTGGAGCAAGCTATGATTGTGCCACCGCACTCTAGCCAGGGCAACAGTGAGACCGTCTCCAAAAAAAGAAAAAGCGAAGCACAGAATGACAGAATGTTACCTTCTAGCCTTGGATCATTGGGCGGGTTTCTTAAATTTTCTGAGCTTCGGGTTCCTCATCTGTAAAAGGGTTAGATAAGATTCATTGAGATAATGTGTGACTCTGGCATCAGTCTCATTCCAAACGCTAGGCTTTCCGCATCAGTTCATCCCGCTGCCTGGCCCTCTACCGCACAAGGGGAGTGGCTCACCGGGAGCCGCGAGTGGGAAGGGATGCTGCGCTGCGCCCCTCGGCCGGCAGAGGCCGCCAGTGCGCCATCGGTCTGGGCGGTGCCCACCTCCCCACGCATGGCTGCCCCGGTCGCCGCCTGACCGCCGCCCGCCACCTTCGCGACCTATAGGAGCTCGCGGACATCGCCAGCCTAGAAAAGACTCGTTGGACGCCACGGCCCCTGAAGCGCGGGCGGCGGGCAAGGGGCACCGCGCTGCGGGGAACGGCGGGCGGCGGGCGGCCCGGCCGGGGTCCTCGCGGGTCCTCGGCGGGCCCAGGGGAGGGCCCTCTTTGTGGCTGCAGTTGGCAAGATGGCGCCGGTGGGGGTGGAGAAGAAGCTGCTGCTGGGGCCCAACGGGCCCGCTGTGGCGGCCGCCGGCGACCTAACCAGTGAGGAAGAGGAGGGCCAGAGCCTATGGTGAGGCCGCGGGCGGGCGGCCGGGCGGCCGGGCCGGGGAGGGCACAGTCAGGGGGGAACCGGCCGCGCTGGGTCGGACTGTCGGACCGACTGGTCGTCGCGGGCCGGACCATCCCAGGCCGGCCCCGGGGCTGACCGCCCTTGCCATTGTCGCGCAGGTCCTCGATCCTGAGCGAAGTGTCCACCCGCGCCAGGTCCAAGCTGCCGTCCGGCAAGAACATCCTGGTCTTCGGTGAGCGCCGGCGGCGGGGCGTTGCCCCAGGGCGCTGGGGTGGGCGAGGCGGATGCCCCTCCCAGAGGTCCCAGCGTTCCCCTTTCCTGCCGCCTGCCCGCATGCAACCTGCTCGGCCTGGGAGGGCCCGGTAGACCCTGGTTTGGCAGCCTGGGGTTGGAGTGGTTGTCGGCACATTCCTTCAATCAATTGGCCGCGAGATCACCCTTGCTTCCAACGTCCTCACTCCCTGCGCCTATAGCCTCGACAGCTACGAAATTGAGGTCGCTGAGAGGGTAGTGAATAGATGAGAAAGTTAGGTGGAGAAGAAGGGAGAATGTGCTGATCTGGGCTCGGGGCTGTGGGGAGATGCCACGGGAGCCTTCCTTGATCCTCATGAGCGTTGCACAGTCGGAGGTTTTAGGGACTTTGCGAAAGAACGGCAGGCCTGGGAGTCAGCATCCTGGGAGTCAGCATCGGGGACTTTTCCTGCATTACTCTAACACTTACTGCTAGGTTACCTGAGTCAGGTCTCTTAATGTCTCTGGCCTCGGTTTCCTCTCATACAAGTGAGGGAATTTGTGTACATTCACACAGCAAACCCATTTGTCGAGTGGAACCTGTGGGCCGGTCACTGGGATAGCACAGACATCCCTTAGACGCTACACAAGAATCTCAGTCTAGTGGAAGACAGAGTGATGGTGATTGCACTACACCATGCCAGGCATGGGCAGATTACTGTGGGAGCATCACACTGCTTGGAGCTGTTGAAAGATGGTAGTTGAAGGGTTGGGTGTTTTGAAGCATGTGTCAACATGCAAAGGCACAGAGGTAGCAAGAGTGTGGGGTTTGGAAACTGCTAGAAGCTCCTTGTGATTGGTAAGTTGGGGGCAGATTGTGAAAGGCTAAGGAGTTAATGCTTTTTCTTGAAGGCTTCCAATTCTCAAGGGCCTTTTGTCTCAGCTCCATCCCCCAATCCTTGTGGGAATCTTTGCCTTGGGGGTTTTCCTCTTGTTTCTGGAGAGAGTATATGGTCTTTCTCAAGTGACGACCCTTGTGGTAGGTAATAGAGGACCCTTAGAGAGCGGCAAGAAGCGGGGGATCAGG